TTGTGTGTGTGTGTGTGTGGGTGTGTGTGTGTGTGTGGGTGTGTGTGAGTGTGTGCGCGCGCGCGGGCTTTGGGGGTGATATTTAAAAGTGTTACCGAAAAATATCCCCCCTTACCTTCATGTATTATTTGCCCCACTTTTACCACACCAGACAAATATGGAGGTACGTTTTCTTTTGTAACCAAGATTGCTGGCTCGACAGGCAACAAAGCTCTTGTATCATAGTGAGCTGCGAAAAAAAAAGAATGAACGATAGATTTAATTGCCAAATGATGTATACAAATTCAGAATGTATAGGCTGTAGTTCCGTGAGCAAACCTACGGCGATGCAAGACCACGTAGGCGGTCGGTCCCAATGACAAAAAGCCGCAACGACTCACCTAGTGTCAATGCCGAGCTTAGTTAATGTGCAATAATTTCTACATAACAACCTGGAGCCAAGCATATCACCAGGGATTAGCGTAAGAAAAAGAACAAAAAAAAGCCCACATTTATGCTAGTGTAGGCCACAACATCATCACAATAATAATAATAATAATAATAATAATAATAATAATAATAATAAAAGATTTATACCGCGCCAGTATCCTACTGTTCAAAGGCGCCTACAAAAACTTTAACATTAACACTTAAGACAGCTAATATTAATTATAAAAGGCTTTTCTAAAAAGAAAAGTTTTTAATCTACTTTTAAAAACAAACACAGAGTGAGCATTTCTACTTTCACATGGCAAAGCATTCCATAATGATGGTGCTGCTACAGAGAAGGATCCTGCGCCATATGTTTTCAAGTTATAGGATGGAGAAACCAGAAGGTGCTTGGATGATGAGCGTAGTTGACGCGATGGGGTGTAAGATGTAAGCAAATCACAAATGTACTACGGTGCCAAGTTGTTAAGTGCCATGTAGGTTATAAGTAAAAAATCTTAAAAATAATACATTGATTAACGGAAGCCAATGAAGATTAAAAAGAACAGGCGTAATGTGATCATGCTTTTTTGTAAGGGTGACAAGGTGCGCCGCGGCATTCTGGACGTGTTGTAGCTTTTCTATAGTGTAGGCTGGTAGGCCATACAAAAGGGAATTACAGTAATCCAGCTTCGAAGATACAAACATATGAACCAGCAATTCAGTAGTGGTCGCTGAAAGATATTTCCTGATACAGCTAATATTTCACAAATGATAAAATGAAGATTTGCAATTGTCAGTAATATGATCGTTTAAGCAAAAATGGTTATCAAACTGTGCCGATATTCCTCGCCTTTTGCACGGAATGAATAGTCTCACCAGCCACTGAAATTTCGTGAAGGAGTGGTCTTGGAAGACGTTTAGCGGAGATCACCAATAATTCAATTTTGTCTTTATTTAATTTAAGGCGATTAACCATCATCCAATGATTAATTTCATTCACACAATACGGTAACAAATCCATATATTCAAAGGACAAAAACTTCTTGAGCGGCTGCAACTTTAAGTTGAAAGATGATCGATTAGAGTTGCTTTCACACACCGGATTGGCACAAAACTTCAAATTCCACCGACGGTCACTCCAATCTCCTTTCAAAATAAGCGCACATCCCCCTCAGCCTCCACTTGGTGCCTGTAATTAGTTACCAGACTTTCTCGTACAAACACTTTAAAACTAGCCCATTACATCCTCGTCGGCCGAGTCGGCCGTGATCTCTGAAAGTTTAATTTTGGTTAGAGATACCTTGATCGAGATTCAACTCTGTAGTGCAGCCACAGCCAATAAGCTTAATTTAGGTAAAACAAAGAAGTTTCGTCCAAGTCTACCCTGTGATCGCCAAAGAACAAAGGTGGTAAGTGAAGCTAAACGAAGTCTCGAAGGGATTTCTTTGAAGATAGAGTTCCTTTCTAGACCTGTTGATAGAGACGTAGACGACATGTGGGAACTTCATCACGAACTATTTGTAACGGTCTACTTTGCTTTGTTTCTCTCTTTGATATCAGGTGAGCCATTTGTTGTATGTCTAACGCTTTCGGCTTCGGCGATCTCCGAGGCACAGGAAGAATTGAAAATTGTCTTAATCTTAAATGTGTAATTGTTTCACTACTTTGCTATGCTAAACGAATTATTAAAGTTATCTGTATCAGTTTGTGATTTCCTTACACCATTGAACAGTTCGAGTTGGAATGATAAGTATCAAAAAAGATGGCAGAGTTGCAATATTAAATATTGATGCAAATGTTTCATAACTCTAGCGCTCGAGTTCCGAATTGAAACTGAAATTTGTATTAAACAAATTACTGCACGATTTTAACGGATGACTTACTTCTCTCGTTTCAGATTAATCTATTTCCTGTTATGCAGCTATAAGCTTCATTTTTGTCAGAATGTTGCATCGACGAAATTGTTTCGGTTACTGAATTGGTTCAAAGTAGGAAACAGTCAATGCTATTACTAGACAAATAACCTTAACATTAAAAGTATTTTCAACTGCAACTTAGACTTTGTCTCAGTGAAAAGTGACAGCAGTCGGATCAAGATTATTGGCAAATGCATCCCTGAGCGCCCTTAAATTGAAGACGCTCTGCCCTTGTTGACCTGTTTGGCTTTTGTGAAAACAATTACTACTACTCCTAACACTGTCTTGTGGTTGAATGTCAAAATACATACTAAAATTCAAAAGGAAAAGGTGTAAGCCTCCACAAGCTATCGGAAAGTGAAGTATTAAAGAAAAGTAAGGTGGCCAAAAATAACTCGCGAGGACGGCTTGTCAAACCCTGCGAAACCTGAGAATTGATAAAACGAGGATTTCCGGCGAGATACAAGCATGTAAGTTCTCTTTGACGACCTTTGCTTCGAACTGAAAGCTATGCTTACCTTTGCCATATTCAACACAGATTTTGGTTCTGTTTTCTTTGAATTTCTTCAAACCGTTTTACTGTGAGGAATCGAATAAATCGAAGCTCGAAATGGTGGTACACCGTGTGTAATAAGTTCTTAGTGGCCACCCTTGACCAAAGCTGAATTTCAACACTGTGCCCTTTTTCAAGCAGCGTATAAATATATCTAGTCATTCCAAAGTCAGTTACGAGTCCACACAGTAAAATTTCTTTACCCCACCAGCCGCATACTCCTGCGAAAGAAAAACTGAATGACATTTAATGACACGTTTGCGACAAATACAACTAATTTATCCTTCTTATGTTGCACGATCCCTCGCGGTAGATAGCGCTATTTATGCAATAGCGAAAATCAGACATGAAAAAAATCAGGCCTGTACGGGATTCGAACCACTGACCTCTGCGATACTAGTGCAGCGCTCTACCAATTGAGCTAACAAGCCAACTGGGAGCAGGCCGTTAAGTTGATTCGTAATAAACCCGTGATGATAAATCAGATACAATGAATATATGAAGTTCATATATTTTGAACTGCGGTATTAAATACGTATGATGCACGATCCTTCGCAGTAGATAACGCTATACATGCAATAGCGAAAATCAGACCTGAAAAAAATCAGGCCTGTACGGGATTCGAACCACTGACCTCTGCGATACTAGTGCAGCGCTCTACCAATTGAGCTAACAAGCCAACTGGGAGCAGGCCGTTAAGTTGATTCGTAATAAACCCGTGATGATAAATCAGATACAATGAATATATGAAGTTCATATATTTTGAACTGCGGTATTAAATACGTATGATGCACGATCCTTCGCAGTAGATANGCAGAGGTCAGTGGTTCGAATCCCGTACAGGCCTGATTTTTTTCAGGTCTGATTTTCGCTATTGCATAAATAGCGCTATCTACTGCGAAGGATCGTGCATCATACGTATTTAATACCGCAGTTCAAAATATATGAACTTCATATATTCATTGTATCTGATTTATCATCACGGGTTTATTACGAATCAACTTAACGGCCTGCTCCCAGTTGGCTTGTTAGCTCAATTGGTAGAGCGCTGCACTAGTATCGCAGAGGTCAGTGGTTCGAATCCCGTACAGGCCTGATTTTTTTCAGGTCTGATTTTCGCTATTGCATGTATAGCGTTATCTACTGCGAAGGATCGTGCATCATACGTATTTAATACCGCAGTTCAAAATATATGAACTTCATATATTTATTGTATCTGAATTGTCCTTCGTTATGCAGGCGCCCATATTTCACTATATCATATCGATTGGACACCACAAAAATAATATGTCATTATTTCATGTTTTCTAACCAACTAATTGACGTAATTAAGTGTTAATGCTTTAAAAAAGAAATCGAAAGATCTGTTTTAGCTTCAATTTCTAAAGCGACTCTCTGGCGCCAGTCGTAAATGACAAAGTTCCACTTCTCACAAGTGGCGACAGTTTCAAGTAAGAATGAAAAATATTGCGTTGAAGCTAATTCTAAGCAACAAAGAAAAAAATACCATTGCAAATTAAAGGTAGATGCTGAGAAAAACAAAATTAATTCTTAATAATGAACTTCTCCCTTATGTCTGCATGCGTTAATTTTGGCAACTAAATTTTTTCTAATCAATTGTCGGTGTTTACGTATACGAAAAATGATCTTCAAGTCAATCATTTCAAACTTGTTGCATGTCAACTGAGGCCTTTCTTAGTTCCAAATGGCTCGTGTATAGTTAAACACCGAAGCTGGGTTCTAGAAACTGCAAAAATAATTCGTTTCATTCCGAGGTAGCAATGCGAAATAAATACATCGCGGCCGGGTACTGCGGTCTTCTTTCAGTAAAATAACTATCACTCTAGAGCTAGGATTTTTTTGAGGAAAAAACCCTTTGGCTTTCAAATTGAGTTGGTGTCTTAGTATATTTAATTCGTAGAATTATACATTCTCGTTTTTCGTAGGTTTCTCTTTACAGTTGCCGCAAGAGAACCACTCGCAATTTCCAAGACGTACGCGACTGAGCAGGTCAACGTTTCTTCTTGAAACTCGTTTTCTTGACTTCTCTCTCTTTCTCCCTGACAGAGATATCTCTTTCCCCTGAAGACGAACCATGTTTCGTTTGAAACATAAGTGGATGTATTACACCCTCTCGGCTAAATTAAAGTCCTTGTCTCTATTTCCTCTTCAGCAATAATTTCAGCTATTATATAAATTAGCATGCCTCAGTATTGTATGTCATAGTTTCGTGATAACAAATATGGCAGATTTAACTGAATTTGAAAATGACGACTTTTGGAACGTAATTGTTCGCAACTAAAATGCTATTAGCTCAAATGAACGCAGGCGTCCCAAATTCACGTCTCGAGCAAAAGCGAAGGATTATTTCTTGAAAGCGTCACGCGTTGTGTGACGCGGTGTTAAGTTACCGCATTTACTCGAATAAGCGCCGCGGCGCTGATTTAATTTTTCGCGCCACAATTGCGGCGCTTATTCGAGGGCGGCGCTTATTTAAGAATTGTACCAGACAAATTTACTTTTTCTATATTTTTATTCAACGGTACACTTTCTATCTTTCAATTTTCCTATGGACTGATGCTAAACTGATAGTAAATCTAGAATTACCAGAGAAATTTATGAAAAAACCCCGTGAAAAAAACCCCGAACGTTTCATGATAACCCGAGCAGAGAAATACAGTTACTTTGAACTAAAGAACATCAGATTTAAATAATATAAATTGCCGATACTGTGTTAAAATTGTTTTATAGCGTTTTTCCTGCTTATATGGAATTCCTCGAATAAGCGCAGCATCGAGGGTGCGGCGCTTATTAACTTTTTTTGTCCCAGATGCGATGCTAAATCGAGGGCGGTGCTTATTCGAGTAAATACGGTACGCGAGCAAACGTTGAGAATTTGAATGCGTTATAAGGAATAGTATGGGAAATAAAATATGGTCCAGTTAAAACACTAAATATTCCGAAATATGAACATTTTACACGTTAGATCAATAAAACTTACTGTTTCCTTGTGTGTCCGTCGTGTTTTTTGGCGATTTCTGCTCTTCTGGGCTTGCTTTGCCATTACTGTTTTTCCTGTTATCAGACGGAAGTCTTCAGACGGAATATTTAGTGTTTTGAACATAAAAATAAAATCAGTAAGAGTCGAATGAATACGCTTGTGTATAATTATCTGTTTCTGAAAAGGGTATACTAAGAGGTCGCTAACACGATTTTCAACGTCCGAGGGAACGAAACACAGCAAATATCGCAGCACTCAACCATAACGGTAGGTTAAGGGGGAGGGGAGGGGAGGTGTCAATATTGCGCGGCGGGTCTAAAACGCAGGTCACAGGTCACGGGTCACAGGTCACAGTTCATGGGTAACAGGTCCCGTGCATTCTTCGAAAAACAATCTTGTTCGAATTAAGCTTTTCAGTTCTTTTCAGCGGCTTCAGTTGGGCCACAAACAAATTCATGTGACCAAAACCTGAGCCCGAAAACACGCAAAAATCCATCCACTTAACCTTTTATTAAAGGAATTCGGGTTCCTTCTTTAACTTAACTTAACTTCTTCAAGACTTATTTTTACAGTACATGTTAAACTTGTTAACGAACACATCAAGACATTGTATCAAAAAAATTTCTGTATTGCAGTTTATTAAAAATATTACAGCTGTTAAACCCAGTATTCATAATGGAGTATGAATTCATAAATAACAAATGACAACCATCAAACTTTAAGCTCCTGCAACGTGTGACCTGTGACCCGTGACCGGTAACCCGCGACCTGTGACCTGCGACCTGTGTTTTAGGCCCGCCGAATATCGGTGGTTTCCAGCAATGCTATCCTTTTAAAAATCTGACCACCGGTAGGCCATAGGTTAGGCCACAGGGTAGGCCACAGGGTAGGCCACAGGGTAGGCCACAGGGTAGGCCACAGGGTAGGCCACAGGGTAGGCCACAGGGTAGACCACAGGGTAGGCCACAGGATAGGCCATGGCTTAGGCCACGTTTTGTCCACACCCTTCCTTGGGAGATGACAAAACGCGGAGCCCTACTCCATGGAGTACCCTGTGGAGTACCTGGATGGAGTATCCCTAAAAGTCATGTATTGGTCAAATGAAATACTTTATGAACATGGTGAATCGTTTAGATATACATATCCTGATATATATTGAGCTTTTCAGCTCTCCGATTATCGCAGTTCGATGTAGTACACGAATTGACCTCCATCTTGAAATTAACATTAAACTGCTGACCACTTTCAACGGAAAGCTTTAATGTTGCTAGCATCCATGAACGTTATCGTTAATAGGCCAACTACCACCTATTTTTATATGATCTTCAAGAGGCCAAAAGGAGGGACAACCTTCATTCTGCAATGGGTTTTACGTCTTCCGAAATACCTGTTTGGCGTCTGTAAGAAGTGTGGCGCTCCATCCAGTAACATATGGCCTCATGGGTTTCTTAAATGTGCGAAACGATGAGGATACAAGCTTAAATTTGTAGATTGAGACTTCAAAAAGGTAATCCCTATCTTTAAACTGAGCTTCTCCTCACCCATCTATTTGTAGCGCAATAAAATTGAGTTATGTAAACAAACCAAAAAAAAAAAAACTGACAGCTCGGCAATTAAATCCGACTGGGGTTGTTGATCTGGGAAATGCAGTAAGCTTAAATATTTCACCTCGTGCAGAAATCGAAACAGTGGGTTTTGTTCATCACATGGAGTTGTTTGTCTTCTCGTCAAAGGACTCATTACACTGCGGTAAAACCAAAATGGAGGAACCAGTAAGACTCATGAGAGCCCTAGTCAACTGTCCCCAAAAAAACTAGATTGTATCGAACTGTGACATTCGGAGAGCTGTTAAGCTCAATATATTTTAGGATATGTACATCTAAACGATTCACCATGTTCATGAAATATTTTATTTGACCAATACATGACTTTTAGGGGTACTCCATTAAGGTATTCCTTAGGATACTCCATGGAGTAGGGCTCCGCGTTTTGTCATCCTCCCCCTTCCTTATAACGCATTCAAATTCTCAATGGTTGCTCACGTAACTTAACACCGCGTCACACAACGCGTGACGCTTTCAAGAAATAATCCTTCGCTTTTGCTCGAGACGTGAACTTGGAACGCCTGTGAAATGAATAGCGGCCAGTTAGGACAATGCACGGCAAGCAAGGAAATTTTGATATAAGTGAACTTTTTCTAGACCGTACTCTCCTTTTAACAGGCCTGAAGCCACATTTTAAAATCAAAATTTTAAGAATAGAGGAGCAGGTTGTGGCATCCTAACCAGGCCATCTTGAATTAAAACAGAACAGTGTAATGAGCCCATAAAGTTAATGAGACCATAGAGAAACAGGCCCTTGATCAGAAATTGAACAAATAAATAACTTATTTCTCTCCTCTCTCTCTCTCTCAGTTAAATAAAGAAACCAAATTGGTTTGGTACCAAATGTGTTTTTTTAATAGATTGACATGTGGCCTACAAAACCGTTTGTAATTCAATAATCCTTCTCAGGAAGTAACTAAGAAAGCTAAATGAGAGGTAATTTCTGGTAACAATTAGTTTTAGGGACGCTTCTTTCATTTGTTTTATATCAGAATTCTACTAAACAATTTGTCTGTGGTAAGACGTTGAATAAAGGTTTAAGTTCTATTATGGATTTTCACTAATTCTTAGCAAGTTCAAGAAATTTCGATATTTCAACCGTACATTTCACAACAGAAACTAAAGAAATTCAATGAGTAAAAGTCGCAGTACATCCTCTTGTGTCAAGGTAGAAAAAGCATGTCAACTGACTTGAAGTTTTGGGTGGAAGAAAGATTTTACAGATGCCATTACAGCAACCAAACAAGCAGACTCACACAACTTCAAAACATACATTTGAATTTACTTACAATTTGACTTTTCTTCACCTATAAAACTGAACAGTGGTAATTCTTTGAAGAGTAATCGTCATTGGAAGAGAACAATTCTTTCCATAAAATTAGTGAAGATGAAAAAGTCACAGTGATTGTCATTTACCTCGAGTTTACTTGCTAAAACAAGTACTTTGTCTTTATCAAAAGTGTCAGTGGGCTTACTCACTTTCTAATTGACTGGTGTCAGATTGTGACAAATACTTATAAATATTATTAATGTTTTAATATTTGCTTGGAAGCCTTTTAAATCATCCATTCAGTGCACAGTAATAGAACTGTTTCAGTGAAGCACATCTTTTTAAATTGCATTAATTACCTCTGTTTTCTCTTTTATCTACTCGCTCAAAAATAATGTTACATTTATGGAGGAACTTGCTGCGAGTTATAGCCCTAAGTTATTCAGGTTCTTTTTACAAGCATTTTGGTAAGTTTAAGAAAAAAAATAAATAGATGTTATTCACCAGCAAAACTATGCCTGAGGTCTTGGATACTGCTTGAGGCCGGGCTCGTCAAAATGCAGTAAAAATTAGTAAAAATACTCAGCAATACTACAAAAAACATTTTATGAGATGTATTTTAATTTTAGAGAATTTTAATTTTAAAGAATATTATGGAAGATGGGAGGATTTGTTCAATTCTGCATCCAGAGGAGTTGTATTAAACTTAGATTTATGAAGAATAAGTTAATTGCAAACACTTTCATTAGTGCATTTAAAATTGCTGAGGCTAAGATCACCAAGTATAAGTATTGGGCTTTTACCAAATCTTTAGAAATGATTAGATGCATCCACGTAAAGAAATCTGGAATAGTGATGTTTCAAGATGATTTTGAACGGTCAATCGTATCTTTTAGAATTAAGTACTTAAAATCAACAGTAATCTTAATCTTCTTGTGATGTTCTGTTATGTTTCTACGATATATTTCCTACTGAATATATACTTATTTATCACCTCGCTCAGTTTGAGCCTGAATGGCAAATTTACTTGCAACTAATTGATTGCCCTCTTTAAGTATAAAATTGTGTTACTTTCAACATTTTCTGCGCTTCTGTATTCATATGTTGGTTCCCATAGATTCTTGGGTTTAGTGTCAAATCAAGTATTTTCTTCCACTCATATATCACGTTCTCTTCTCTTGTTGTGTGTCGGAGCATAAACTGAGCTGGGGAGGACACTGGGTCTAGTTTGCAACATTTAAAAAACCTCCTCAAAACTCAGTAATTTTGCTTGACGTCATGTCCATGACCAAGTTCCTCAGCTATTGTTGTTGAGAAACAGTTGAGGAACAAGGGTGTGGGTAGTAATTCTAAATTGAGACATTCGTCACACTTTGACACAACAGTGGGAGTGGTGCCAAAAGAAAAAGCATGAAAAATGTGTTTTACTTATCTATCATTTTCTTTTTCATTCAATTCCATTGAAAAGGGTCTTCAAACTAATTTATTGCTTGGGCCAAAAAAAACAACTGCTCTCAAACAAAAGCACAATGTTCAAGTTTATTTTTTTGTTTTACTGTTCTGATGTCACAAGGATTATCTTTTTTTTAACAAGAGAAAATTTGTTTTAAGATGTACTTCCATGCTGGCATTCAATTTATCAAATAAGGGACTTCATGAACAATTACATTGAATGTGTCCTGTATGCTAGGGAGGAGATGGAGGTTTTTAAAAAAAAGTATATGGGTACTATTCTAATTTCGTTTCTTTCTCCTCAGCTGACTGTGTTGATCTGGATCTGGGAATGGAAAATGGAGCAATTCCTGACAGTGAAATAACAGCTTCATCTGAACTGAGTGCAGACACATTAGACAAGAATGGTCGACTGAACTACATATCAGGATCATCATGGTGTGCAGGAACAAGTGACACTAACCCATATCTACAGATTGATCTACAGACACTTCATGTCATCTGTGCTGTGTCTACTCAAGGAAATTCTCAAGCAGATCAGTGGGTGAAGAACTACACTCTACAATTATCTACAGATGAGAAAACTTGGACAGAATACAAGGAAGCTGGAAAAGTCAAGGTAAAATGTAAAAGATCGTGCATATTAAAATTCGAATACATCTTCCTTTGACATTTCCTGCAATTAGATCTGGCAGGGAATGGTAATTTCTCAAGAACTTTCATTGCTGAGGAACCAATCTATGTAGAAAATTGTAGAAGCCATTTTCCTGTCACTATATATGTTTAGGAAAATATAGGGAAAAGCTTTTTTTTCTTAGGCCACCCCTGAGATATCACAAGATTTCCCGTTGAAAATGAGAATAGATGTCAAAACTGAATACCACTAAGCTTGTAAAAGCTAATTTGAAAATACTGTTTGAGGTAAAATTGTGTAAATATGACAGGGGTGGAAATGGATTTAAAAAAAGCTAAAGGTACTTGACGCTTTCAACAATAAGAAGTGTATTATCTTAAGTAGTTACTTTTGATGTTAGACCTTTCAGGGAAATAATGACAGATCCTCAGTGGTAAAAACTGTTCTTTATGAAAGTCTGGGAGCACGCTACCTACGAATCTTGCCAAATGCATACCATGGTGCTAGCTGTATCAGAATGGAGGTATTCGGTGTGAAGCTAAAACCAGGTCATTATCTGACTAATTCTTTAATATTTATTTGAAAAACTTCAAATACAAAATGATGGAAGGTGCAAAACCTCTCTTTTGAAAAGGAGTTGCGTTAGAATCAAAAGTGCTTTTCATGACACAGGCTTTGCATTTTTATATCATCCTTATTCAAAGGCATCAGTTATTCCATGTGATGGATTAATCAGTCAAGGTTGAGCATGGGAATGATTTAAGGATCAAAGATAGATACACACGAAAGACATAGAATCACAACTCAGATCTATTAAGATGTGACAGTGCAAAACCATCTATGAAGAATAATGATCCACATAAAGTTCAATATTTTCTTTGTACTCTTAATTCAATTCCTTTTAATTTTTCCTAAAATGCTCAACATCTTTACATAAACTGTAAGTTGAGTCATAAACGGTGGCAGATGTCGTATCCACGATGCTTACTCTTAAAATAAAGTGAAATTGTATACATCGTATTTGTAGTATCGGTAATAAAGATTGCAGACCTTTTGCCAACAAAGGGTTTATTCAAACTAGAGGCAAACAAAAGGGGAGATCATTACCTTATATAGAGAGTTTCACATTCAAAATTATCCTTTGAGGAAAATTAGCTCACTGTAAAAACCCATGGGTAAGCCACATCCGCAGATAAGCCACACCCCGAATTTAGCAGCTCAAATTTTGGAAAAAAAACTTTGTTGATAGTAATCAAAAGAAATCCAAAGTCAAGTCTTGAGAAGTCTTCATCCCCTCTTTCATCGAAGGTAAACTTGTCATTAACACTGCAACAGAAAATACTTCGGAGTGTTACCCACAATTTTAGCACTTTAATATAATGAACATCGTTTCTACCAACTTTGACATGATTGGTCTTTTTCTGGTATTTGTTGACGGAAATTTCTTCATTCAACACAGTTTTTTCATAGAACATTTGAAGCTTAGTAACCAGGCATTAGATCGGACGCGAAAATAGACATTCACGATACCTTTTTCGAATGTTCCCACAGATAAGCCGCACTCTCAATTTCTAGCGACGATTTTTGGAAAAAAAGAGTGTGGCTTATCCGCTGGCCTTAAGGGTAGTTGCTGACAAGTGACAGGCAGGCTGTGCAAAAATCCCATCAGCTTATCCTTTTTCATCTACTCTAACATCTTTGAGAACTTCAGATTACATGTATTTCAACCAGCAAGGTTATACTTATCCGTGCTCTTACTTTTCTCACTTGGGAGTCAATTAACTCTAATATTAGTTTATCTTAGCAGGCTAATGATTCAAAATCTAAACCTTGGCTGATATTTATTTCTTTCTGTCTTAACCCAGTGAATGTTGCTCTTGGGAAGGCCACCCTTCAGTCTTCAACATTTAACAATACTCAGTTGGGTGTGTCAGGTGTGTCAGAGAAAGCGGTGGATAGTAATTCTGATACTGAATTTAGAAATGGAAGCTGTACACATACTCAAAAAGACAATCCAAGCTGGTGGAGAGTTGACCTGGGCTCAGATAAGGAGGCAGTCTCTGACATATTCATAGTCAACAGATTTTCAACATTGACTGTTCCAATGGCCAGAAGTGAAAACTATAAAATTACATTTGGTGAGAAGCACTATACGTGATACCTTTCATGTAATAAAGATGAGATAAGCTGAGGATAAAAGGAACAATAAGAGTATTAAACTATGGCATTTCCAGTGTGCAAGGTTGGAAAACCATAGTAATAAGCAGAATTTTGTCATACACAAGTATGTACATGTATTTGAATTTTGAGAAAATGTTTTAGAGGGAGTTATGTTGCTTTTTTAGTTTGATGTTTTTGTTGCTGCTTTATTGAGATATTTGAATCCCTCAAAATACTTTATACATTAAATAATTATAATTAGTTACTTCAAAGAACAATGATCGATATATATTATGTTCATTGTTAGTGGTTCAAATATACACTCAAATTTACATGTACATGCAAAGAAAAATTTTATTTTCCTTCGAAACTGTCTCACCAAAACCAAGTTTAGATGGGAAAACAAGCCTATATTATTACTGAAATGGATCGAAAAGTTTGTTTCTCACATATTTTCAATGTGCAGTACATTGAAATGAAATGTATTTTTTATATATATATATATATATATATATATCATCAGGTGACAACCCACGAGTAGAAAACAACACTCAGTGTAAAGGACTCTACAGTTTTGTTAACTTCACAGCATCAGCTGTTTGTTTTACCAACCCACTGACAACTGGCAGATACATTGGGATATCAACCATAAATGAACAAAGTCTTCAACTATGTGAAGTGGAAATCTATTTGCGAGGTACACATTCTCATTAAACACAGAGATTTTTACATGAGATGATTGGAGCAAAATTTTGAATGTTTTTTGTTAAATTTAAGTAAAACCACAGGTTCCAAAATCTTTATTTGATCACATTTTTTAATTTGACCAGATGATGATTAACAGAATTGCAATTGTTATTTCAGATAATCTTGCATTTGGAAAACAAACAGATCAAAGTAGTGTACAGTATGGTGGTGTAAGTAGCAGGGCAGTTGATGGGATAAGTAACCCAAGCTTTTACGCTAGAAGCTGTACCCACACTGCCTATGAAAGCAACCCTTGGTGGAGAGTTGACCTGGGACAGGTTGAACCAGTTTCAGAACTATACTTAGTCAACCAAGTAGAAGAATGGTATTACAGACAGAATAATTTTGAGATCAGAGTGGGTAGGTTAGATCATTTTTAAAATTGTGATTCCATACTGTGGGGTCAACAATTGTTTCAATCAATCATCCCACCAGTTAAAATGTGCAGACAACTGGAAAAGTTTTTAACACATTGCCAACATTATACAACCGCCGCCCAGTTAGCTCAATGGATAGTGCGCTGGACTGTTGTGCGGGAGGTCGAGGGTTCGTGCCTCGGCCGGACCAACACTCAAGGTCTTAAAATAATTGAGAAGAATTTGGTACCTTTCTATAACATCGAGAAATGGTTAGATACTCTAGTCTACTCCGATAGGGACGAATAAATGGAGGTCCCGTCTCCTGCAGGATTGGGGGTAGGAGACGTTAATTTCCCACGGGCAAGATTACTGTGTGATGGATGTCCTCCCCTGGGGTGGGATGGGTGTGTTTACTTGGCCCGCAGTAATTGGCGCAAGCTGTTGCGGTGTCCCTGCCGTTTGGCGAAGCTAAAAAACTAAACTAACCGTCTCATAATGTTGGCAATGTGTTAAATGCTTTCAAATTGTCTGCATGTTTAACTGGTGGACTTCAATCAAGTTTATCCATAACTTTACTCAGCAAATCATTGAGGTCTCGCTAAAGGAAAATTTTAGTACATTGCTCAAATTTTTTTTTTTTTTTGGACTTTTGGCACGAGTGGTTCCTAAATTTTATTTTAGCGGAAAAAAATCAGAAAGTGCTTTTCAACCCTTCTAAAATGAGCTTTTTCTGTTTCCCGCCATAAGTTCGGCGCGAAAAGTGATTGACAGCCCATATCTGTTGCGTGACAAAACACTTAAGTGTCGTATTGCAAGAACGTGTGCTGGCGTAGCTCGATAATTCAAAACACTCTATTCGCTTCGGAAACTTGAAAATCATCGAAACATCTGCAGAATATATATGACGCCTATGAAACGGAAATCGGACTGTCCCTGGACTAGCACAAGGAAACAGAAGAAACAGAGAAAGACAACGGAAAGTATTGTGGAGCATAAGAAAACTACACTGGCGCAGTCAGACAAGAGATAATCAAAAATGATTTCATTATCCTCTGCGCTTCCTTATCACTACAGTTTCTTGATAATCGGGCAGATTGATTTCGGAGTCACATTAGATTTAATGTTTTCTTTCAAGCTTAATCTGCGCGATTGCACCGCGATTGAGTCCGGGCTGAAACGCTAAGATTACATACCCTGTTAAATCTGTTGCATCTTTCTTCTTCCCCTTAACGCGATTTTCTCTTGGTAGTTTTCACTTTCCCCATCGCTAAGAAGAAGGGATTCCTTGCCACCGAATATTTCAACCCTCCACCAAGCCGAAGTGTTAACAAAACTTCCCACGCAATTCTTAAATTAAACGAGACTTACCCGTAAGTCGAAGTTTGATTGGGATTCTATTTTGTCATCAGTCAGGAACGAAGGAGTCACATGTCGTGGGAGGGCATGTGACTCCTTCGTTCCTGACTGATGACAAGATAGAATCTCAATCAAACTTCAACTTACAGGTAAGTCTCTTTTAATTTAAGAATTCTATCCTGTCATCAGTCATACGTTACTACGGAGTCACATGAGAACTCAAAGCGTCCGAATGTGGGCCGAGTCTTACACATGACAAGTGGTCTAAGACGCCAAAGACGATCGTTGTTATAATGAATGATAAAATGGTCAAAAGGCTAATACGCGATCCATTTATTCTGTGAATTCGCGGAGATAGGAATGTTCCAACGATAACAAGAACGAGAAAATAAGTGAATCATCGATATTACAAATCATTGGCAGTGTGCTGAGTCGTAGATTGGGCGTGGTCTAGGATATGGCTACCAAAGATAGGATTAATGGGTTTATTGTAATGTCTGGCAAATGTTTCTACTCGCCACTATCCTCCCGCTTTTAAAATGTCTTGTATGGCGAGTCCTGACGATAAGGCGAATGACGAAGAGGCAGTCCAGCTACTGTGGGCTGAGTATTGCTCAGTATTAATACCGGCTTCCGTTAGCATGGATTTTATCCAGCGTCCAATCGTGGCTGGTGTGACTGGTTTGTACGGTTTCAATAGGCTAAAAAATAGCTTCGAGCCCTGGCGAAGGGGTCTGGTTTGCGTTAGGTAGTGTCGTATATGCGTAACCGGGCAGAGTTCTAGTTCAGACGGATAAGCCTTGAACTCGATACGCTCCAAATGATTGCCAGGTCTGATGTTTTTAGTTTTTCTTGTACTGAGAAGCGCAGCGTAGTGGACATATCTTGCATGAATCAGCTGTCGAGGTATACCAAAGTCTGACATCTTTGAGTAGTTGTTAAGGCGAGTAGCGTGACAAGCTTGAGAGTTAATCATTATTTCAATGTGAGTTCCTCCAGAGGGGGCATAATGCGGAAGTGGTCTAAAACTGTTCTGACGTCCCAGATGATTTGTGACGTGGTAACGATGGTTTCAGCTCGAAAATGCCTTTTAAGAAACGAATTACAAGTGGGTGCATGCTCACCGAATGTTGATTTTTCCCTTAGTGATAAAGTAGTGGACATGGCCGATCTTGGTGCGTTGATGGTGCTGTAGCCAAGCCCTTGTTTATAAAGATAGGTGAGGAAAGCTAAGCTGTCCTGGACATTTGCCTCAGATAGTTTAATTTTCCTTTTCTCGCAGAAGTCAGTGCAACGTTTCAAGTTGGATTTGTATTGCTTCGAAGTGGATTTTCGCCATGAAGCCATGATGATTTCGATAGTGTCATCCGAGAGTCCTGTTTCAGTCAACTGTTGTGTGATAACAGGCAGGGTAGTAGGGTTAGATTTTTGTGCAGTGGATGTATTTCGTCTGGTCGTCCCGGAAGTGTTAGAAGGCGTTTGTGCGGACCCACTGATAAAGGCGGTTTTACACACATCTGCATGGCCTTGGGGAACCAAGCTTGGGTTGGCCAGTCTGGTAGCACTACTACCGCGGTTGCTTTTTGTTGCTCTACTTGTTGTAAAAACATTCTTATCACACTGAAAGGACGGAATGCATAAAATGTTATTTGAGATATATCCATAGTCAGTGCGTCAATTGCCATCGCCCCCGGGTCAGGTCTGAACGAGACATAATGTGAAAATTGGGCATTGACTCGTGAGGCAAACAAATCAACCTCAGGGAGGTAATCTAAGGTATTTAATGCTTTAGTCAATATTGCTTTGTCTAGCATAGTGGAACAACCTTTTCTGAAGATATTACTGGTCTGGATAAGTACACAGAATATGAATTTCAAGTGTTGGCTTTTACATCTCATGGAGATGGACCAAAGAGTTCTGCTGTGGTGGAAATAACAATGAGAAATGGTAAGAAACTTGATTGTTTCTGGAAGTTGTAATTCCACTCGTTGGTGGGTTTTTAAGAGCCTTAATAATCATAAGGTTGGGTTGGAACGTTCAGGTGCTGTAATATGTTTGACTTTGTATATTATATGCTGAAATCCTCATTACTCCCATAGATCTAATCTTTAAATTTCCCTATACCTGAGTCAAGATAATGCGAACTTGCTATCAGTTGACTGTTTTACCTTAATTTGGATCAATGTCAGTATTTAAGCAACTGCGCACCCACCCCTCCCCTAACCCAACATTAACCCTGAGTTGCTATCAGTTTACTGTTGTTGGGTGATACGTGCTCAACAGGAGAAGAAAAAACGCGGAGCCCTACTCCATGGAGTACCCTATGGAGTAACTACATGGAGTACCCTTAGAAATCGTGTATTGGTCAAATAAAATGCTTTATAAACCTGGTCAATCGTTTCGATGTTGGTACTCCATAGGGTACTCCATTAAGTAGGGCTCCGCGTTATGTCATTTCCCGTGCTCAACTGTCCAAATACTCTTCGACGATGCAGCAATTTTGTCAAGATATGCCAGTACACTAACAAAGAATGGTCGACCAAACTACACCATAGGATCATCGTAAAGAGCAGGAGCAAGCGACAGTATGGAGAATGTTAATTTACCCCCACCATTTCAAATCAATTCTCAATTTGTGTTAGAATTAGTTAGAGGGCTTTAAATCTGCTGTAGTTGCAAATGCACGTAAAACTTTTATGCCATGTAGGTTCTCATAATACCTTACCCTACAGTAAAACCATTCCTCAGGTCTT